CCCCAAAACCCCAAAACCCCAAAACCCCTGAAAAAGTGAGTAAAATAGAGAAAATTATATTTAATAATTTACGAAGAAGTATGGAGGAGAGAATCACCAAGCTTGAAGGAGATCTAAAGGAGGTCTTAGCGTGGAAATCAGCGATAATGCCTATTGTACATCTCGTTGAAACATCCAAGGAGGGTATTCCAGAAAATCATGTTTTTTAGATTTCCCAGAAATTTTGAAATAAAGAAATATACGGAACACTCATTTCCAAGGTAAACTATTGCAATCTAGACATGTATAGTATAATATTGACAGGCTGCCTGCAACTGTAGAAAGACTTGAGAAGTTAACTACAAGGACTTCGGGAGATATCGAATTCATCAAAATCGGTATGCCATAGAGCTTTAAAAGTTATAGACCTGAATAAGAAAGCAACCCTCAACGATTTTGTAGATTTCAAACAAAGAATCACAAATTATTACCTTCCCAAGACCGAAGCTGAGGAGTTTGCTACCAAGTCATCAGTATTAAAGCTAGATGATTCACTGAATCGCTTTAGAAAGGAATATCTATCGAAAGAAGGTATTCAACAAATATTTCTAATATTTTCATAGAATTTGGAGAGAGAATGGTTCAATTCAGGAACAAAAGTGAGAATTTATATTGTTCTAAGACCCTCATTACTCATGATATCGACAAGATCATGAAAGACTTACCCAAAATTGATAGTGACATTAAGGGGCTCTATGATTCAGTTAAAAGGCAGGACAACGCACTCGCCAATATAAAAGAAAACCTTAAGAAGGTTAGCAAGGAACTGAACTCTAAGATTGATATTAGTTACAAGTAATTATCTCGTGATTATTCTTTAGAGCTGAGGTTTCAGAGAAAGTGTCCAAATTTTGCTCATATCAGCATATAAAAGATGTCAAAATAGATGTGAAAAATAGTCTTGATAAATTCGTACGCCTGGTTGTAACTTTAGTAGAAGGAAAAACTGCAAAAATTTCACAATCACATAGTCAAATTTGCAAAAGATGTCAAGAATAGCAAGGTGATAATCCAAAGATTTGACGAGCTCATCTGAGAAAAAGCGTCTAAATTTGAGGTTACAAATTCAGCCTCCTTTCTTGTATGGTCTGAAATAACCAAAATAGGAAAGACTGTCCAAAGAAGTTGACAAGATCAAAGCTATACTGGCTCAAGACTCCACTCCTGAAGAGTTAAGGAGTATCCATAATCAGATAGATATCTTGAGGGATGAAACAGCTGAATATAAGAGTACAATCATTGCGAAACTTGATTCTACAATAGAAGGGTTTACTTTACAACTAGAGGACAATATGATAAAATTTATTGACAAGAATTGAGTCACACAAGAAATTATAGAAAATATCCACGACTGTATCTCCCTCAAAATTGATGAGAAGAAATCCAATAAGGTTATTAAGACCTTATTAAAGCAGATGGGAATGCTTAACGTCATCCTTGCAGAAAATATCAGAATGGAATCTACTGATAAAGAGGAATCTGAAGTAGCTAAAAGCAAGAAGATCAACTATTTGCTAAAGCAGTCAACTTCTCTGCAGAAATGGATAGATCAGTTTCAGGATTGTGATAATGAAAGTATTAAGAAGTATGTCAAGGGAGCGCATAATTTAAGATCTCTATCCGTCATCCCAAAGGGACTTAATGACCTAAAGAATATGGCTGATGGAGAAATTGATAATATAAATCCATGTCTCACTTCAAAGCTAAAATCCCGATCTAAAATATCTAGCCCAAGAGGATTAAGTAATAAGAAGAATAATCGACTGTTTATTTCTTCTATAACTCCTAACATTAATGGAAGTTGCAAGACTTATTTTGGAAGCAAGGCTATCTCTAATAAGTTCAGCATAAAAGAAGATGATGCATACTGCCCCAAGATTCTTCGGAGAGATTTCATGAACAAAAGTGAGAGTGGTCCTTGTAAGTATCCCTCTTTTAAATTTAGCGATGTATGCTACGAAGAAGCAGATGGTTATCAATGATATCTCAAAAAGTTCCTATCAAAATATTAAGAGGATCATCAAGAAGAAAACAAAGATGAATCTCTCTCTGAGCAAGACGTATTCTAGTAATGGCAGGGATGCTTCTGCTCATTTGAAAGAATAACCTGAGTCGTTTCAGTTCCTGTTTCAATAGAAAGGTTTAAAAAAGGGGTTTTGGGGTTTTGGGGTTTTGGGGTTTTGGGG